CCACATATATATACATATATGTATATATGTATATATACATACATATATATATATATATATATATATATATATATATATATATATATATATATATATATATATATATATGGTATGTATGAGGCAATTCTCGTTACTAGAATTGCGGTTGCACTACACATATACACTAACAATCTTTTCTCTCGTCGGTGTGTTGTTGCGAGAGAGAAAAAGTATGAGATACTAAATCCTCGCAAAGCTAAACAGGTAGCTACAGCATCCATAATTAATATGACAGGTAGCTAGGGCATCCATAATTTAAATTGCTTGCAGCATATCATGGTAACTCAGAGTCCAGTCCAAATCTAAAAACACCCCAAATCTTTGAACCCTAAATCCCTATCAGTATGGACGACAACTAGTATTAATTATCTATACTAGAAGTGTATGCACACCATCCACCCACGCACACACACAAACACACACTGACATTCGTATCTCTTTGCTGTTTCGCGCAGGAGAACGTCTCTGTGTACGCCGATATGCCCTGGTGGGCGACGATTGTGACTGTGACAGTCGCATGGCGTATGCTGGTATGTGTACTATACGGCTTTATACACATACACATAATGCTATGCTGGTATGTGTACTATACGGTTTTATACACAGACACATATTGCTGAATAGCTGGGTTTGTGAAATCATTGTTCTAATCTTTGCACATGCTTCAGATTCATGGGAACAGTTATATACAATCTGACCAAGGACGCGTGCCTGTGTGCCATGTAGAGGAGTGTGTGTCCTTCCGGGAGAGAAGTCAGTATGCATTGACCTCTTTCTGCGTGTGCCTGTATGTAGTTGCAGTGCATGCGGGGATTGTAACACGACCACCTGTCATCCTATTTAACCACGGTTCCACCTATCGCATCATGGTACTCACGATGACATACACTTGTGCTGCTGCAGATCTTTCCCATTGCGTGCAAAACGCAGGTGAACAACGTAGGCATGAAGAACATTAAGCCCGAGGTAGACGCGTACACGGAGAAGGCCAAGATGCACATCTCCAATGGCGAACATGGCAAGGCGGGCGATGTAAACCGTCAGATGTGGGTAAGTCACCGACTCACAGGTCAGCATCAAGACGTGTGTGTGTACACGGTGTGGTCCGTCTATACAAATTGACTAGTGGGAGGGTGCATGTCAACAGACGATTGTATGACCAGGTACACAGCGACCCCACCACCTGCCTATATCACCGTGGCCCAATATCTATGTATCTAGGTATTTATGTATTTGTGTATCTATGTATCTGTGTATTTATGTATCTATGGAGCTATGTATCTAGGTATTTATGTATCTATGTATCTAGGTATTTATGTATCTATGTATCTAGGTATTTATGTATCTGTGTATCTAGGTATTTATGTATCTATATATCTCGGTATTTATGCATCGTTGTATCTAGGTATTTATGTATCTATTTATCTGTGTATCTAGGTATTCATGTATCTGTGTATTTATGTATACATGTATTTATGTATTTATGTATCTATTCCTCCCTGCACGGGAAGATTACAGTCTTTTTGGCTTGATAGCATAGATTCAGTTATCTGTGAAGTTGTTCAGATTGTGATCGATCGGCACACATATTGGGAATGCTTGTGATATGCCCCTCTTGTGAGCTCAACTGGTGGAAGCCTGTTGTGACCGAAATGTTCGGTACTTTTTGTCTCATAGCTAAGCATCTCCAATAGCTAATGGTTCGATATTTGAAGGATTTTGGTCTGACCGTCGTAAACAACTCTGTCCACTTATTGTTCGGTACAAACGTGCATAGCAACGTGCATAGCAACACATTACGAATCCCACCCAGCCCGTGTTTGTCAGATCTTGGTCAGTTTGTTTGATACCGTTTTGTCTGTTTTTTTTCTTCTGGTTTACGTTTTGTCTATTTTTTTATATCTGGTTTACGTTTTGTCTAATTTTTTTTCTGGTTTACGTTTTGTCTGATACCGTTGTTTTTTTGGTTTACAGGCGCATATGGCTGCGAACAATGTGTCCTACTCTGGAATGTTTGCGCAGCCAATGGTGCAGATGCCCTTTGCCATGGGCATGTTTTTTGGCCTCCGAAAAATGGCCGAAGCCCCCATAGCATCTATGACCGCGGTATGTATATGTGTCTACTACATCGGATGTATAGTACACAAACCTCACGATGATATACACCTGCACCACTATCTAAAAGATGACTGAAGCTCTCATAGCCACCACTACTGTGACAACGGTTAATGTATCGCGTTTAAACACAGTATGTCTATGTGTATACTACATCAGATTTATAGCACGCAAATCTCAGGTTGGCATGCACCTGCACCAGCACTAGTAGGCACATCTGCGCCCGGTATATCGTTTTCGGGTCCTCTCCGTTCAGTGCTGACCAGGTATATACAGACTAATAGTAGACTAGGTACATATATTTTGTAATAAGACTAGATATATACAAACTATAGTGGACTAGGTACATATAGTTTGTATTAGACTAGATATATACAGACTATAGTGGATTAGGTACCTATAGTTTGTATTAGACTAGATATATACAGACTATAGTGGACTAGGTACATATAGTTTGTATTAGACTAGATATATACAGACTATAGTGGACTAGGTACATATAGTTTGTATTAGACTAGATATATACAGACTATAGTGGACTAGGTACATATAGTTTGTATTAGACTAGATATATACAGACTTGGACTAGGTATATACAGACTGTAGTGGACAAGGTACATACGGTTTGTATTAGACTAGATATATACAGACTATAGTGGACTAGATATATACATCTATAGTGGACAAGGTATATACAGTGTACTAGGTACATCCAGTTTGTATTAGACTCGTTATATAGAGATGAACTTCCTATTTGACTATTTGTCACATGAATAGCCACGGTGCTTGTATTCATGTTGCACCTATCATATTCGACCTCAATAAACAAACTGGCGTGCCATGGACATATCACATCCCACGTGTCTGTAGGGTGGTGCCATGTGCTTCATTGCCTCACCGGCCACACCGTACCGAATCGCAGCTGTGGGGTTTGTATGGCGAATCACATATTAGTTGCATATGCACATTACTATCAGTCTACTCTCCAATTGTAGATATTAGTTGCATACGCACATTACTATCAGTCTACTCTCCAATTGAAGATATCAGTTGTAGACCAATTGTATATCTAAGTAAAGTCTTGATAGTTTCAGCGTATAGTTAGGGGCATATCTCGCGCAGAGCGGTAGTCGGTGTGCTTTGCTAAACTGGTGAAATCTAAGAGTATCACATACATGCACAATGAGCATTTAAACCATATGTTTCCTCACCGTCTGTCATGCATATCAGGCGAGCTCCAGTGTTCCTTTCTGAATTCGTAAACGTTGACCACCCCTACGGGACACGCTGTGTATGTGGCTGTCACTGCTTCTCCCCTGCTAACATGCACATAGGCCGATACCATGTGTACTTGAAGGCCCCTTTAAAGGCCTCTGCTTCCTCCACTTCTAACATGCACATAGGCCGATACTATGTAGTGCAGCGACCTCACAGCCGCCGGCTCCCTTGTTCCGCACTGCTCGTAGTATCTGTCCTATGCCCACGTGTAACACTCAGTCAACACATACATACATGCCCCATGTGTACTCGAATGCCCATTTAAAGGCCCCGCCTTCCTCCACTTTCTCACATCCACCTAGGGCGGCACCATGTGGTTCAGTGACCTCACAGCCGCCGATCCCACCTACGCACTCCCGGTGCTGTCTGGTCTGACGACGTTGTGTGCCATCGAACTGGGAGCCGAGGGAACCAAAGCCTCGGAACAAAGCGATACAATGCGCACGGTACTACGGATAATGCCCTTTGCCATGGTGCCGTTGGTCGCCCAGTTCCCAGCGGTAGGTGTGTGTGGTGCTAAGTAGTACTGTTTTGCACTGGTCTTAGTACTATATCACATCTGCCCCCCATAACACACAAGAGTATTACTATTTTGCTCTCGTCTTAATCCAACCTCTTTAGCTCATGGTCCAATACATACATCTCCTAGGCCTTACTACTCAAATCTTAATACAACCTCTTTAGCTCATGGTCCAATACATACATCTCCTAGGCCTTACTACTCAATTCTTAATACAACCTCTTTAGCTCATGGTACAAAACATACATCTCCTAGGCCTTACTGCTCTATACTTAATACAACCTCTTTAGCTCATGGTCCAATACATACATCTCCTAGGCCTTAC